CACACACACACACACACACACACACACACAAAGGTTCTTTCCCTCGATCTTTCCACTTTTCTCCATGCTTTCTATCTTAAAGTTAATGACTGTTTCCTATTCTGCAACTCTACGGAGAGACTAAACCGTCTTTAACTCTTTCTCTCTCTCTCTCTCTCTCTCTCTCTCTCGCGCGCGCGCGCGCTCGTTCGTTCGTCTGTCATTTACTCGAGGACTTAGCTCCCGCAAAGTTGAGTATTGCTCCTTTGAAGCTCCTCCTTTTGTGATCTTGTATGTTATCCTGCTCTAATCTCATTGCGTTTCGAAGTGTTCCATGGGAAGGGCACTTTCAGGGTTCTTCGGTTCAGAAGTTTTCTATTGTTTATGATTTCGCCGTCTTGAATGCTGCCACCTGTATGTCATTCTGCTCCGCAGCTTCTGTTTGAGAACCCCATGCTGCCTGCCTCGCCTCCTTAAGAGGGTCTGCCCACTCCCTCCTCTCAGCCTTGGACAAACTCGTGTCCTGTTGCTCGAGCTATCATGTGTAGCTCGACCGCTTCAAAACCCCCTTTAGCGTGTTGCGCGCTCTGGGGCATGGTGGTTAAGCTTCGCGCGGCTATGCATGTCGCACCACCGCGCGGCTATGGCTTAAACCTAACACTGTGCCGCTCGTGTCACGGGAGTAGAGCGCTACGGTGCTGGCTTCCCGCTTCGTCCGAATCCCCCACTTTTCTCACGGTTTTGCCCCAGTTCGCAGTGTTGCAAACTACTCATTCTTGAACCCTTTTGTCAGAGGTCTGGGCCCTGAAGGGTCAGGAGCCAAGTCCCACTTGCACCGTTGAACTAGTTCAACGTTGAGTTTTCTATCAGGTATGGCATGGCGCGACCTCTGAGATGCATATCCCTGACTTCCATCCAGCGGTTCATTTTGTTGATGAAAATATAATTTCGTTTTTCTTTGCTTTAGTTTTCAGAAGAAAAAAAAAAAAAGTGGATTCCCGAATACAACGCCCCATACCCTAGCCCATTTCCCGTTGAGCTAGCTACCTCACTTCACGTGGGGTAAGTAGCTCAACGGATATTGAGCCATCATTACCTCCTCGTGGGAGGACTTTTGACAGACAAGGGAGTGCACTCTGACAGACGTGGGATGACAATCTCACAGAGGTGGGAGGATACTTCGACAGACTTTGGAGGCACTCGTCTCTTTTATTTGGGTGGTCGATGCACATAGCCAGGAAGATCGTCCACGTTCGTTCCACGCTGTAGTGATGTCCTGTATCCTACTTCTTGCAGTGCACGGGTAGTTCCGTTGTAGGGGCCGTACCCTGAACGACTTTCGAGCCTTGGTCGACCCAACTGCGGGTCCCATTTGGCTCGACCCGCCCACGCTCACGCTCAGGGCGCGGGTCGTTCGTCCTAGGGGCACCCCCACCTAGTGCTATGAGATGGATGGGGATGGACCTTGTGCGAGAGGGCTTTACATTGGGGGATGTAACTCCGCTCTCGCGTCAAGATGGTAGCTTTTTGGTCACTCGCGGCGTTTTCTTGATTCATTTAAGTCTGAACAGGCAATCGCTCTTTCCAATACTCAGGCAGTCCAGGGAGTTCGTTGAGAGTTTGTCTTCTTACCGTTCGCAAGCCAAGCGTCATCCATTGGGCCACGCACCTTTTCACTAGGTCTAGTGGCTCGGGACAGCCCCGGCAGCATCCTTGGGGTAGGGCGGCGTCGTCCGGACCCCTAGCCGCTATATTTTCTTGCGGGAGCCACTAGCATCGCATCACCTATCCAAGACCGGCCTTAGTCTTTTCAGGGGTCGCATTGCACATGAGAGAGACATTCCATGCAACCTCCACACAAACCAAGTCCATGCATCAACCATCCACCTAAGCGCCCGGTCTCAACTCATCCCTCATCCATGGCTTAAGCCGGATCCAAGTCCTTTCCTTAGCCAATCTCCCATCCTAGTCCTCATCCGCGGGTCCAGCCCTGTCCAAACCATCCCTAGCTACTCACCTGCGCAAGACCACACAAGACAAATGACCAAGGACAATCCCCATTGGGGTTAACACATCGCCCCCTTCCCGCAATGCTAAGTTGTTTTTGCCTTCCATTCCCCCTTATGAGTTCCCTCCGCTTTCCCACAGGCAAGCCATGCGATCGCCTCAGTCATGCATTCCGGGAGGATGGTTGAGTCGAATTGAGCTCGTCCAAAATCAGCACTCCTTTTCGCTTTCGCAAATGCACTCAATATTCCCGTATCCTTTCCTTCTTGGTGGCACAAGGGACCGGCAGCCATTCCCTTGCCCTCGCTTTCCACCAAGTGAGAACTAAGTTCCTTTCCGTTCGTTCCCTGGCAATGTAACAAGTGAGGGTAGAGGTTAGTCGCATGCCATAGAGGGGAAGGGGAAGGGGAAGAGGTGAGGGTTAAGGAGTTTGAAGGAATGGGAGAAGAGGGGGGGAGAGAGAGAGAGAGAGAGAGAGAGAGAGAGAGAGAGAGAGAGAGAGAGAGAGAGAGAGAGAGATCAAGAAGTCTCACGTCCTAATCGACCTTGATCCTCGCCTCTTCCTAACCGGCCCTACCCGGGACTTCCCGTGCCCCCTTGCGGCTTCTTCGGCCCTCGAGTGGATAAGGGAGGTGATAAGCGAGGAGGGTTGAGGTGGTCGGCTATGGTGGATGGGTGTAGGTGATGGAGGCGGAAAAAGGGTTGGGGGTGGTCGGCTATGGTGGACGGGTGTGGGTGATGGAAGGAGGAGAAGGGTTGGAGGTGGTCGCCTATGGTGGATGGGTGTCGGTGATGGATGAGGAACAAGGGTTGGAGGTGGTCGGCTATGGCGGACGGGTGTGGGTGATGGAGGAGGAAGACGAGTTGGAGGTGGTCGGCTATGGTGCACGAGCGTGGGTGACGAGGAGGAAGAAGGGTTAGGGGTGGTTGGCTATGGTGGACGGGTGTGAGTGATGGAGGAAGAAGAAGGGTTTGAGCTGGTCGGCTATAGTGGACGGGTGTGGGTGATGAAGGAGGAAGAAGGGTTGGAGGTGGTCGGCTATGGCGGACGAGTGTGGGTGATGGAGGAGGAAGAAGAGTTGGAGGTGGTCGGCTATGGTGGACGGGCGTGGGTGACGGAGGAGGAAGAAGGGTTGGAGGTGGTTGGCTATAGTGGACGGGTGTGAGTGATGGAAGAAGAAAACGGGTTGGAGCTGGTCGACTATGGTGGACAGGTGTGGGTGATGGAGGAGGAAGAAGGGTTGGAGTTGGTCAGCTATGGCGGACGGGTGTGGGTGATGGAGGAGGAAGAAGGGTTCAAGGTGGTCGGCTATGGTGGACGGGTGTGGGTGATGGAGGAGGAAGAAAAGTTGGAGGTGGTCGGCTATGGTGGACGGGCGTGGGTGAAGGAGGAGGAAGAAGGGTTGGAGGTGGTTGGCTATGGTGGACGGGTGTGAGTGATGGAGGAAGAAGAAGGGTTGAAGCTGGTCGGCTATGGTGGAC